TGTAGCTACATTTCTCAAATAATAGTTTTTTTTTTTTTTTGCTTGAATTAGTTTTTTTTTGTTTTTTTTCTTTTTTAGCTCTGCTCCCCAAATCAAACACTACGCTGCATATAAATTAAATAAGCTCCAAAAATGTGTCTACAGTATACACACTCGCACATGTTTTTTTTAATGTGAGGGTGTATAGTGTGTGTGTGTGAATTGTCTGTGTGAGTCCATTTTAAATCATTGTGTGTATAAATTGTATGTGTCTCTTTTTGTACAGAGGTCTCTCTTGAAAAAGAGATCTTGATCTGAATGAGACTACCTGTTGAAATATAGGATTTAATAATAATAATAATAAAAATCGTTCTTTTCTGTCCTCTCTCCAGTCAACAAAGATGTTTTGTGACTGCTGTTCTAACTCTCATCACTCGTTACTCCTGCTCATCCTTGTGTCTTTACCCCCTCATAAAACACACAAACACAAACAGTGCATTGCCGTATGTGCGTGTATGTACCCCCACACACAAAAACACTGGCAGAGGCAACAGAAATAGCAGCAGACTGTGAGCAAAAAGATAACAGCCTCTGCTGCTGTGTGGGTTTGACACAGCTCAGCTTCACCGTTCCAACGACAGTCTCGGAAAGAGGGACTGAGAGAAATCACTACAAAGTGCAGAAACCAATGGTTTTCTTATTGTCTACCCCAGCTGGCTGAAAGACTTGCGCTGCTCTGCTGCTATCACCTATACTGAGCTCTGAGCTGGTTCTCATCTCCCACACAGCTCTGTCAGAAAGCCGTTGTCTTTGAAGAGCTGCTGAAAACTGACACACTAGCATTTTGAGCATTTTCTCCGAGGCCCGAGTTAAAAGGCAGTCCTGTTGCTCATTGGTTTTGCCGCCAGGAAAGTCCTTGTTTCTGCTGTGTCAAGTCAAGCATTCTGTCAAGTTGATTTGGTTTAACTTTGCTTCAGACCAGTGCAGTAAAGATGTGATGCTTCACTGGAGGCGAGGACTCCTTCTGCATCATGGATGAATGTGCCTCTAAACCTTCAAAATCCAACCTTGTGGAAAATACATTCATTTGCACGTTAGCAACATTTTCCAACCCACCTTAGTCCCCAGAGAGCAAGATGAAAAAATTGCCCTGGGTTACACTAATGTTAGGTTGGTTTTCTGTTCAGAGAGGATTCATGGTAATGGACTTCACTGGTAGCTGTCCATGGTGCTGAAAAGCCACATGTACAGTACATGTACTGTGTGTAGTCAGGTTGTCAAGGGGCACTTGTACCTCAGTGTTACTTCTGCAGTTGCCAAAAAATATATTCACATATTGAATCAAATGTAACACCTGAACGTTATGTGTTGAAACTGACAGTGCATGACAACTAGTCAGCAGGTAAGCAGGGAAATTAAAATACAGTAAGTCAGATCACTAAAAAATAGATAGATGGTTTGAGCAGCAGTAAAAAGATGGTTGAGATATCCAACTTCTGACACCCATACAATGACTGCTAAATTGTATGAAAAAAAAATTCTAAATATCCATTTTTATTTAATAAAAAGTATTGAGTAACATTCAGTTTAAAATCAATTCAAATGTACATTTATAACATGAGAGCTGGTGTCACTGAAGAGGTACCTGAGAGGGCTGTGGCAGTACTAGTGGTACTTGTACCCCAGAAGGCACTTCTGCAGAGGGTACCTGGAAATATTGTGGAGCAGTTGAAGTAATCAGGAAAAAAAAACACATATGATTATATATCTATTATATCTTAAAATGTGTATAGAATGTGCCATATATTTGTGTTTAAGAAGAAAGAGGAAAGAATGTGTATGGTGCTGATGTTTAGTATGACTCACCCTGCTGTCACTGTATGCACATTGAATTTTATGTGACCTTGCATGCTGGGTTTCACATATTTATATCGCAAGTTTGATGTATTTTCTTAAGTATTTATCAGTTATATGTACATAGAAGTATATTTATTGTGAGAGTAACCTTCCAGCTATGAAGCTGACACAAGGATAGCTTTCAGTTTCACACTGAAGGATATAGTACAATCATACAATTGTAACTTCAGCAGAAAGGTCTACATGGAAAGCTAAAAGTAATGGATGAATGCTTGAAACATCCAGTGGCATAAGCTGTGTTTTTCGCTGTGGTGAAAATAGCCCATCTGTTGGGGCTGTGAGGGAATGTCAGACGAAAAAAGTTGGAAACTAACTAACCCTAACCCTGCTCTATGAGGTTAAAATGCATCAGAATGAATTTTGAATGTATTTTCACCAATGACAGATGAGGACAAGGACACTCAGCTGTTTTTATTCATGACCATGTCAAGTCATGTCATGTGCAGTCACAGCTGAATTTTCTAAAAAAAAACATGACACTGACAAGATATTTAAAAGGTTTGTAGAAGTTATAATATTATTATGTTGAAACAATACATTATGTATGTATAACATACAGAATTGATCATAAAAAACAAACAAACAAACAAAAAAAACTATACAGTCACTATAAAGTTTGACTCAAACCACAAATAAATTATGAACAAATCCTGCTGCTGCCCTGTTCAAACAGTCAGGGAGCTTCACTTCAGTACAGCAGCAGTGAATCTGCAGGTCAGTAAGACTCTGGGACTACCTGTGATTTAGTGCTTCGATACTCAGAACAGAGGTTTGGTGCGCTAGCCTATCACGTGCATTAACATTTTTATTTGTGGGTCTTGGGGGAAGCTGACTTTAGTCCCTAGTAACAGTTGAAAAATGTATTGAGAGCGCTTGCTGGACCAGCACTATAAATCACACAGCTGGACCCTTCTCTTCTTCTTTACAGCACAAGATGAAATGAAAAACACCCTAAAACACCCAAAGCCACACTGTGATTCTGGATGAATTTTGTTGGTGTACACTTTGCCCAATAATTCTTTTTGTTTGTAAAGTTGATGATGTGGTAACTGGACTCTGTGTTAATCACATCAACATCCTTAACTGAAATAAAGTTGACGTGAGAGTTGAGTGAATTGCAAACATCCACGTCATTCTATAAGCAGTTTTACTCCTGGTAGAAGGGCTTGGCCTTGCAGGTAGCAGCGTCCTCCTGATTTCCACTTTGAAGTAATGGTGTGTGTGAGGAATCCATTACTTGAGCCCTAATACCCTGCTGCGAGGCTTGTAGGGGTATGTGACACTCCATTTCCTTTCATTTCCTAGCCGCACTGCCAGGGCTTTATGTTCTCTCAGTGTAAAAAAAGAAACTGCATTGTTTCTCCCAAATTATTATTATTTTTCTAGTCACAAACATGTTTTATTTTTTTTCACAATGCAAGGGCACTGCTTTAAAATAGCATTGGGGGCTGCAGGGATGCAGGGAAAAAAAAGTTGGCTTGTGTAAAATATGCAGGAATCTTAATGCAAATTCAGTCTTGGGTGTTTTCCATTTCTCACTGTTTTCGGAATTTTTGCAAATCAAACAATTGATTTCTTGTGAAAATAATCACCTGATTAACCCATAAGGAAAATATTCATTAGTCGCAATCCTATATAATTATAGGATAATTAAGCTTCACCTTGTGTAGCTGCAACAGTCAAATGCTGTTTACACATCAATACATCAGTAATGATAATCCAATTGTGTAATAATTAATTACAGTCACATGGGACATTTTTCTGCATTGAGTACTTACACTTAATAAAAGTATTTATTATCAATTACATTTACATACTTTTACATAACATTTTCGATGCAGGGCGTACTCGTAGTGAAGTATTTTACAGTGTGGTATTAGTACTGGATCTGAATACTTGCTCCATCACTGGTCATCATCTGTATTCAGCTGCACACAGTGGCCTCCGCGCCTGTAGCTCATTGTTGATCCCAGATCTCCCTCCTCCCACATGCAGAAGTCGGTCATTCATCCTCTCTGAGCACAGGAGGAGACTCCTGTTGGCAGCTCTTGTCAATCTGACAACCCACTGATGGCGACTACATGATGTCTGAGCATGAGGTTTCTGAACTTCACACAGAGACTTTTCAGTGCAGCCTGATGGGACGTGCTGGGATCAGAGCCAACTAAAAGTGATTTTACAGCTGGATTGACTTTACTGTTTGTTTAGAGCGAATACACTGCTCACAGTAAATGCTGTTCTGGAGAGGTGATGAAGTGGAGATGTTGTAACATAGCAAATTAGTATCCTATTTAGCCTTTAACAAGACTATTAGCAATTAAAGCTGTGAAGACATACTGTAATCCAATGAATAAACATCCTTCCAGGTACATGTTACAGGTCACGTTTCATCAGTGGATGGTGGATGGGGTTCTCTGTGGGGGTTACTCAGCACCAGAAAGCATGAAGACCTCCAAAACTACTCATCTGTGGTGGCTGAAATGAGATACAGCCGGTCCTGCTCTGTGGTCAGGCAATGCAGCATGCATGCTTCAATGCTGCTCTCATATAAACAGAGTCCTAGTATGAATGTGGAAGAGGACTTCAATTAGTCAGAGCTTGGTTTTCACAGTTCTGTGTGTGTGTGTGTGTGTGTGTGTGTGTGTGTGTGTGTGTGTGTGTGTGTGTGTGTATTTACATTGCTCACATACAAAACATTTTTATGATCTTAATTTGCAATATAATGTTAATTTAAAAACCATGGAGGGACAATGGGATTTAGTTAAGAGCTGAGTCATTACTGCTCAGCATGCTATTAGCTACCAAATATACTCAATTTTTATTTATTTATGTTTTTTTTTTTTTTAACAAAAATCAGACATGCTGTAGAAACCTAAAAGCAAAAATTAAATGGGAAGCAATACATAACACGAAAGCATCTGCTGGTATTTTTAACCAACTACTGCCATCTTAGGGAAGAATAACAACATTGCAACAGGAAATAGCTGTGAACCCTCAGTTTACATGTCCAGAAGATGCTACAAATCTCTATGCTACAGTATGTGGAGTTCTTTAGTTAACAAGTTAAAACATGGATGTTTGAAAGAGACACCAAAACACATTCATTTGCAAATAATCTGTAATTTACTGAGGAAACATTTGGTACATGAGGAGCCTGCATTCAGCGTAGTTACGTGTTACACTTTTCAACAACACATCCTTTATTATACAAAGATGCTTTGTTCATAAATATGAAACACCAAGGTAAATACAGTATGCAGTAATGCATTACAATAAAGCAGGTTTTCCTATTAGTACTTAGTATAATATATATATACATTTACTGAAAAGAAAATTACATTTTAACATCTATCTTTTAGTTTTTAATGGCTAAAATGAAGCCAAAATTTTTTTTTTTCCCACAAATAAAAAGTCAAAGTGTGGCTTCACAAATGGCATTTATAGAGCACTGTAGTCCAACAGGTAAAATCTGGGATTAACACTGCCAGAGTGAGGGATTAAGTTCACAAAGAGGGAAGTCGAGCTGCACACCGTTTGGTTTTTTTCACCTCTAATCAAAACATGTAAAAAGGACAATAGCAGATACTTTTTGGAGTTGACAAAGGTCGTCATGGAGAACAAAAACAATATGAAAGACACATTAAACTGCAGTAAGAATACAATCAGAAACATTAAAGATATTCAATATAGATGCACCTAATTTAACACAACTTCTTTCTTAAAATATTTATACATGCATTACTGATTCATACAACCAATTCCTTAAAAAAATGAAATGTTGGGATGAAAGTGTTTTGGAGTTTGCTGAGCTGCGTTTGATGATAATTTTTCTTCAGTGGTCGACTAACAAAGAAAAGAACACAGCTGTAGCTGCTAAATAACATCTTAAAAAAATACTTAATTTTGCACAGTAACTATCAAAACTAGGTGTACATTTACAAATAAAGACAATCACAGGAAGTTTGTTTTTTCAATATTAAGTACCAGTGCAGCAACTTTCTCTTGACTCAAAACTGCAAAATACAGATTTTACAAAACAAAACAATGTTTTTTTCAGATTTACTCAAAAAAGGCATTACATTATTCACACAGCAAGAAGATGAAAATAAAATCTTGAGTGAAAAAGGCTGATCTGGTATATGCCAAAAACCTTTTTCTAACTTTGTTTCGGCTTTTAGGCTGAAACTGAATCAGGGTTTTGGTTTGTAACTCTTAGCTCTTTGCAGCAGCAAAAACATCTTCATCCACTGATATTTCAAAGCACTCCAAGATCCTCTGACTCTCATTTGACTACTGACTACTTTGAGCTGTGACTCAGCCTCGTCCATGGTATACATTTATACATGGCCAATAAAGGTCACTGATAATTTTTTTTTTCATCACAAGAAAGAAAATAGTTTTAGTCTTTAATGAGAAATGAGGATTTATTTTTGCTGGCTTACACACCCAGGAGGCCAAGGTAAAGCCAAGGATTAGTCCATCACTATACAGGTCCAGTCCAAGGACCTAGTCTACTTTTTGATAACAAACCTGCTTTTCTAAACTCCAGGCTACCCATACAAAATGGAGGCACCATAAGGAAAATTATATAAAGTCGGAAGTTACCGACGACAAAGCACAGAAAATAGTGCTGTGGCTTTAAGGTGCTTATGTTGACACACACAGAAGACTCTAAAAGGCCTCTAAAGCAAGGCAAAAACTTAGACGTCAGGTCACATTATTTGTCAGAGACGTCATCTTTTTCGTCATGTAGTGGACAGAGGGGGTACTGTTGCATAAAGCTGTGCTGCAGGAGGCCCCAGGTTTTTAAGTCCTCCTCTGTGAAGGTGAGACCCTTTAAAATACTGTTTTCAAGCTCCTCTATATATTCCTCCCTCAGGTCATTAAAGGGGCTAGATGAATTGCAGGAATCGTTAATGGGGCTGTTTTGAAATAATGCCATGCTGTTGCCCTGATCTTTTTCACATCCATTACGCTGACTCATGTTATTGTCATTTGACATTATGTCATCATCCTGATTGATTCCATGTCCACTGTCCTGATCCATGCAATCATCGTTTGACAGTGTGTTGTTCTCAACATTTCCATGTCGACCATGTTGACTACTGTAATTTTCACTCAATGCTCTCTTGCTGATTATTTTGCCATTAGTATGAAAATGCCTTTTCCTGGTCCTGACAGGCTGCAAGCAAGCATTTGTGTTGGTCAGGATCTCCACTGGAGCAAAGTTGCTCTGGGTGAGTTGACTGAATGGCACCGACTCTCCCATCACCATATCTTCAGAGACTGTCTGGACGATGTTGAGGCTCCACATGTCTCCAGCCCCTCTTATGTTTTTGTTAGGGGTGAGTTTCTTGCTCATATCGATAAGGACACAATCAGAGTCCCTTTCACTACCTTCTGTGTCCATCTCTTCCTCAGAAGCATCCTGTTCCTGGCATTCTGCTCCCCAGACATCTTCACATGACCTCCTGGACGCACTCACAGGAGACTCAAATATCACCCCTTTGGGAGGAAGAGGTCTGCAGTGTCTACGGCGAAGGCTGGTGCATGCTGATGAGCTGAGCTGGTTCTCAGGCTGTCTCAACATGTGTTGTCGTACTGACTCAGGCACCAGGATTTCATGGCGCTTTTTGCTGGGCAGTAAAGCAGAAAGACTTCCAGGTATGCACTTTCCTACAATGGGTATAAGGCAGGTAGGTTTAAGCGCAGAGACAAAATCCTCCAGTTCTTGGTATGAGGAGTGGTCGGAGTAGGGCACCACATGGACATTGGGGTGGAAGGATACTAGGGGCCTGCTTGTGGGCAAGATGGCCAAAGTGGGTTGTTCTTTGTTCCATCGGTGAAAAGTGGCAGAACAGATCTCTGACTGGTCCACGGCTCGGATACGACCGGCTCCCGGGTCAGTGGTGAAAACGTCAGGCAGTTCCAGAACCTTTAGGGTCTCCATCCTCTGAAAGCTCACCTCAATCCAGGTTTTAAACTCCATCGCCAGCTCCAACAGCAGGGACTCCTTTCCCAGTGCATACAGACCTGTAAGACACCACAAAGTCAGCTAAATAATGATGGTACATTTAATAACATACTAATATTTATATATTTTTTTGTTAAACCTGACAAACAATAAACACTATTTAAATTTCACAAGGCTGTAATTATTTTCAATTTTATTTAATTTTATCCAATGACGTTCTCTACCATCCTAAGGCTGAATAAAAGCAACAATATGTGAATGAAATTTATAAAGTCAGCTCTCCATATGGACCAACTTAGCTTACTGTAATTGTTGGTAAAGTCAATCTACATGCCCTAGCGACTGACAACAGAAAGCTGTGTCAAACGAGAGGTCTATACAAAATTACCTATGACAACATTGTGGTTTGGGTGGCTGCGGATGATCTCTTTGATTTGTTGAGTGGCTCGCTGTCTGGAGGGGAGGGTGCGGTTGGGGTCACAGTTGGTGTTGTCTAGGTACAGCACATCTATAGTGGTGTTTGTCCTCAGGCACGGCTCACGCAGCATCGTGGGAGTATATCTGAAGTCACCTGAAATGAAGAGGGTGTTAACGCTGACTTAATTCCTGCAATACTGAACTCTGCACATTTCCATCATACTACACCAAAGAAAAGGAAAGAAAGAAAAAACAACAAGACATAACTTGACAAATATTCCCTACATCCTATTAGTAACAGATAAACTGTTCAGACACTGACCTGTGTACAGTATAGAGCCAAAGTAGCCTTCGAAAAGAAACATGACAGCCCCTGGACAGTGGTTGGCGTCTATTAGGGTGACCGTCAGCATCTCCTTGCCGATGTCATCCAGTGGCAGCAGGCTTGGCTCAGCCAGCTCCAATGGATGGACCCACTTTTCTTTCACCTGAGCAGAAATAGAAATGATCAGCGAAAAGTAACTCACTGAGTGCAAAAAAAAGATTAACACACTCGTGACCACTGTAAACCTTCTTCCTTATGCAACATAATTCAGTTTAACATAGTCATAGACAGCATTATGTACATGACATACAGACATATTCAGTGCCTCCTTATTCTAATTTCTGAGATAAATGACAAATTAAAGGAATACCTTGAATATTTTCATACAAGCATAAAAGGTGACTAAATGGTTTGATGAGGATGAAAATGATGTCTCCAGTCCCTAGATCTCATGTCAACACCTCTGGAAGATTTTCGACTAATGTGTTAGTGATCTCCACCACCAAATGAGAAAAAGAACACTGAATCTGTTTTGGTAGCTCTTTGTGGCCCCACATTTTACTACAATACTTCATATTGTTTTTTCTCTCTGTTTGTAATCCATCTTTATATTACATAAAATGAAGGAATATTCAAAACTAAGATGCCTTTTGAATGGCTGCAAAAAGTAAGTCAAATGTGCATCACTTCCCATTTCCCTTTCATGTATCCTGGAGATGCTTGTTACATGAGTTTGTAGTAGTGTTTGTCACGTTCTGGGTTTAGAAAAATAATTCAGTGAATGCTGATCTAATTTTCTCACCTAAGATACTGGTGTGGCTTTGCATAGCAATAAAGGGGTTGTAACAAAAAATAATGTAAATATTTCTTTTAACACTGTAAACAGATATTAATAAAACTTAAAACAAAGCTGGGTGCAAAAACAAAAGAAATAATTGTTCGTTAAGCACAGGTGCTTCGGTGCACTGAATGAGGCAGGGAAGTAACGTGAAATCTCAACTCTGAGGCATAGTGATTTGAGACCTAGTGCAGACCTATATTTTCACTTAGTACATCCATGCATATGTTTGACGTGACCCCCGCCCCGCCCCTCACCTGCAGTTTGAGTTTGAGCAGTGTGGCAGTGGTGGGTGAGCAGTAGATGGCCCGGTCGCTCCAGGTGGAGGTCAAACCCACCGTGTGGTCGCTGTGCATGTGGGACAAGAAAAACAGACGGGTGCCAGGACATTTCCGCACCTGCCAGAAGTCTACGGCCAGCGGGGTGTGCGGGATAACATTCCCATTGACGTACATGGTCTGTGATTTCACTGGATGTCCAGCCCTCAGCGATGTGAAAGTTGGGCCGATAACTGACTGTAACGGTAAGTTATTTACTTAACTTGTACTCATTTATGTTAGTTGGCGGCAATAGAACAACTGAAGAAACAGCTGTGGAAGTGAGTTGTAAAATTAAGGTTGTTTCCGTACACATGCTACAGTGCAATTATTGGTCTAGTGTCGGTGGAAACTTTATGCAGCGTTGGCAGTAAAGAAAAAGAAGACAACCCACTGGAAGCTAACTTTGGCTAACCCTACAGGGAACTCCGACGTTGCTACACACGATGTAGCTAGTTAGCTTTAACCGGCTCAAAACTCTTTGTTGCTTCGTGACACCATTATTTTGTATTTTGAAAATCTTCTCTTTAACCTCGGCACTACACACAGCTTGCCAGTCGTTACAGTTTCGCAGTTACAACGCTAATAACAACACACACACCCCGCCATTTCTGTTTTCAATTTGTCACTCAACGCCTCTTCCGGTTTTTCTTCTTGCTTGGGTTCGCTCTGCAGCGGGTGTCATGGTTGTTGCGTCATGCTGCCACCTGGAGGTCACATCATGTGATTACGACGATATGAACGTAAAAGTAAAAAAAAAATGGATGAAAAGTTTTCTCACTAAAATAAACTTAGTGAGACTTACTATGTATAATTTATAAGAAGAAATTATAAGTTCAGTTAAATTTTTGATGTGTTGTAGCAAGTCAAATATGAGATTTGCTTACTGGGATACTAAGTCATACATATGAAATATTAAGTCAGAAAAAAAAGGATAGAATAGAAGGACTTCGAATTGAAATGGGCTTTCATAGATTTAAAACCTTGCTTTAATTTAGTTTTTGAATGGCTAAGGGGCTTTGAAGACAATGAACCCACCAATACCCTTGCAGTCAACAATAAATAAAATGCTGCATGAATGGAAACAAAATAAAACACAAGCACCAGTCAATCCTTGGATGCTGAACTGAGTAACTCCCAAGTAAAATTTATTAGGAAAAAGGTAAGAGTGGATAATACTTGAACTTTTAAAATATTTCTCTGGTTCCTAATTCAGAGTTTGATATCTTAGATAACCTTGTAACTGTTTTTAATTCCCTTTCTTAAGATACAAAAAGCCAAATGACAGAATCAAGAATTCACAATATCACCAACACACACTCTTTCTGATTGACTTTGGATCCACACAAAGTTTTTTGAATAAGAAATGTACTAGATATAGGCTACAGTACAGTACAGCACCTCCCTGAAACTGCCTGAAATGTTCAATGCTCTCCAGAAGATGGAGCTAAGAGAGAGGGAACAGTTGCGTTATGCCAATTGGATCTTTGGGACAAAGAGAATGAGTCTGTGGGACGTTTGTTAGTAAGATGCCCATATTTATGAGAGATGGATAGAGTAGATGATTTGTCCAACAAATTAAGGAAAATGCACTTATTTCATATTTCGATTTGAGACTGTAAATTTGAAAAGCAAAATTATTTTGAACTGTAAAGCAGCACATTATGATTTTTCCCCCAGGGTGACATAAAAAACTAAAACAAAACCAAACCAACAACAAAAATATATCTTGATTATTTCTTACTTGTATGTATGGAATCTTATTTTTCTTCTACTAGCAAAAATAAACAAGAAACGGTACAGTGTTTATCTGATTGTGATATTGGATGATGGATGGATTCCTCTCGAAAAGCTTGGCTGACTCATCTGTCATGATGCTGTAAAGAAAATCCCATCCAACTCTTGAATCTATGAATATTTGTAAATTGTTTAAATTTTATTTTAAGCTGTGCGTTTATGTTTGACGGTGGTGTGTGTGTGTGTGTGTGTGTGTGGGGGGGGTATTAAATGGGGTCGTTGCTATGGTGACAGCGACCCATTGTGGCCCCCGTTCCCCTCCCCCTCTCCCTATGTTTGCACACTGCTCACTTTTCAGGATTATACCTGGGATTGCTGCACATTCCTCTCTTACCACTCAGCGTGCGTCCTCTCTTCATATCCAGAAGCCATTAATTGTACTCTGCTTTACAGTTAATTATCTACCCAACACACACACATGCACACACACACACACACACACACACACACACACACACACACACACACAGGCACACACCCTATGCAAACCTTATGCAGGATGAAATACATTGTGCTGGTGATTAACTGAACAGGAGTGGGTCGAGCTCAGTCATGGAAATCAGCGGAGCCCCTGTTACTATTCATATCTTATGCTTTATGATAAGTCACACAGCTGGGTGCCCCTAAGATTATTTCACAGTGTGGGGTAACTTCATGCAGTCAAGAGACAAGTTGGCAGGTAATTAATTACAATTTTGCTCCGAGTGTATGATTTTTACAATAATGTCACATGTCCCCTCATTATTTTAAGATGATTTCTCTTTGTGCTTCCTTCTTAATTTTTGGATCCTACTTTTACCTGTACAAATTTTACTTTTTGGCATATGAATCGTGAGCACAGTCATATCTGGCACATGCAGTAAAAAATACACGCAGTGCCTTGAGAAAGTATTCAGACTCTCACATTTTGTTATGTTGAAGCCTTATGCTATACAATACATTTTATCCCTCATCAATCTACAATCAATAATCCATAATGACAAAGTGAAAACTGATTAAAATTTTTTGCACATTCATTAAAAAGGAAAAACTGACATATCACATTTACATGAGTATTCAGACCCTTATATGACATTTGAAATTTAGCTCGGGTGCTTCCCATTTCTCTTGATCATGTTTCTATACCTTGATTGGAGTCCACCTGTGGTCAATTCAGCTGATTGGACACGGTTTGAAAAGGTGCACACCTGTCTATGTAACGGCCTCACAGATGACAATGCAGATCAGAGCAAAAATGAGGCAGTGAGACTGAAGGAGCAGCCTGAAGAGCTCAGAGATAAGGATAAAAACAGCAGCTCTGTTTACATGTGTCAAGCCAAAGGTTGCTGAGGTCAGGAGGATGAGCTGTCTTTTCTGTCATGTTCTGGTGCAGAGGAAAACAAAAGTGCTGTCGGACAGCAGCAGTGATGCTTGGAAAGCAGATGGCTGCACAGTCTGTGATCTGCCACTGTTGTTGTTGTTGTTGTTGTTGTTACGCTTTTGCTGGCCCCAGCTCCAGTACGCCACTGTGACCTTTTCTATATATTCTCATCAGTGCTATAGAAAACTAACTAAATAACTGGACATTAGTATTGAGGGTATAAAATGCGTTGCTCTCAAAATCCCTTAAAATCCAAAAATTGTCTGCATCACAGGCTTCACTGTATGTGTGGCATATATCAAGCCCTCATGAATAATGAGCAGTCTCCATTGCCTCCATTCATCTGAATCAACATATTTGTACAGTCAGAGGTGGCGGCTTTATTTCTTACACACACACACACACACAGCCCCCCCGCAGGGATGATACACACAATCCTACCGAGATATTTATGGACATGTGTGAGAAGCTGAAGATGTCCCTCGGGGGCTAAGAGCAAGTTGTCGGCTAAAACGAGCAGCAAGTGAGAACCCCCCTTTTTCCATTTTGGCATGCGCTCTCACTTATTTCACCTGTCTCTCTCTGTTCATCCCTCTGTCACTCTCCCTCCGCTCTGCACTGATGTGTCTTTGTGTCTTTGTTTCGTTCTCTTGACTTTATCCGTTTCCACTCTGTCATCTCCAATAGGGTTTTCATGATCTCTCTTTCTCTGCTCTTGCTGTGTGTGATTTTGACACAAAGACTCACACATTACCGCAGCACAGCAGCATGATCACCGCCCAACCCTCTGCACAGCCAGCCTTGGTGACCACCCTCTGTCCCACACTGCTGTAACACCTAGTGTCAGAGGTGGAGGAGCTGCTATTTGTAGCCCAGGCTTCAGTCATGACGCGCCCCGGTACTGTACAGTATACTGCGGGTTATGAGAGCCAGTTGATTTCCCCTACTCATCAGATTTGATTAGCTCAGTTCATTAGTCTTTCAGCAGCGTGGCACGCATCATCCTGCAGAAGCTCCCCCACGGACCAGGGAAGGGTGCAGTTTTAAGAGCTGCATTATGCATAGCAATGTGCTCAAAGCTTGCTGTCACGGCAACGCTGCACACTGAGAGAAAGATGACTCTAATTGTCTTCCTGGAGGGCTCCAAGTCTTTTTGAATTTTTCTTGGTAGGATGCAGGCGTGGGGAAAGTCATAGCCGACGGGGACCGAAAGCTAACATAGACGGTGCCGTCTTAACAAGCATCATAAGAGCTGAATAAGGCTGGAGACAGTCATTAAATTCACCGTGTCTGTGGGCGGAAGCCCAAACCTATCGGTCTTCAATCACTGTAACCTGTGCTCCTGAAGGAGAGAGAATAGCAGTATGATTTAACAATATGAAAATTGCACAAGCTGGAATGCTTTCATGCTTTATTGATATTCAGTGGCGCTTGTCTGCTCTTATATGTTAAGAAAGAAAAATGCAGGAAACGTTGCACACTGTCCCCACATGCACTGGTCCAGAGTGCTTGAAGGTTGGGAGTGTGAAAAGGTGATTCAAGCAATGTTCCCCACACTGCAAATAAGTTCTTGTGTGGTATTGAATTTGTGTAATGTTGTGTGTAATAGTCCATTTCTCAGGCATAACTAATATTCCTGCCCTGAGCAATAGATAAAAGCCTTTGTGCAAAAAAGCTGACAGATTTTTATTTATTTATTTATTTATTTATTTATTTATTTATTTTACCGACAGCTCTTCTTGTTGTCCCTCACATGACTAGACCTGACAACTCACTGACAGAACCTAACAACAAGAACATTCAGCTGTGTATCATTTATTTTTCCACATGAGCAGAGAAGAATGAGATCATCCATTGAACAGATTTATATACCTTGCCTCAGTCTACACATGTAACCTATTTTGCATGGCTGCTGCGATGACAGATTTTCAATCGCTTTCACGTCAGTTCTCTTGACTCTCTGCCATTACTCTCCTCATGTAGATCAGGACACGATTTTTTTCACAGAAGTTGTGTGGCATTAAGATTAAAATGCCCCGCCCCCCGGTGGAAACAAAGAAGAAGAAAAAGGATTTGAGCACTAAGAGGCTTTTTTTTTTTTTTTTTTTTTTAAAGAGAGACTCCTTTCTCTCTACAACAGAGAACTAATATTGTAGGTGCATTACTGAAATGGCCCAGAGATTGGATGATGGTTGGAAAAAAAGAAAAAAAAAAACTGTAGTAAAAGCATCATTCACTTGGAGGAGAAGCTCGCTTGTTCAGTTGTGAAAAATGGGGTCTCAAGTAGTTTCAAGTCTGCTGGCTTCAGGCTCGAGTGAAAGCAGAGAAAAGGTGAGCATGGTGCAGAAAAAGGCTGTATTAGGGCAAAGCTTGAAGCCACTGCGTTTATGATGAGTCTTCATGTGAGCTGGTTACAGAAAGTCAGAGAAAATCAATGTCTAC